AAAGAGCTCAAATTCTCCCTTTCCCTTCCTTGTATATTGCCAGAGGTCTCTTGCCACATTAAACTGCAGAAACCTGCTTGCCCAGGTCATCTTCTATGCAAGATCCCTTAAAAAGAAAAGCAACAAGGTACTTTGCAGTCTACCTATGCTGCTCTCCATTCTTTCATGTGAATACTCACTCAATTCACAGCTATTTTGTACATTCAATATTTTTTAAATAAAGATTTATTTAGCACAGAATATAAAATTTTAGGCTTCTCTCATGATGGTTTTTCTGTTATTTAGGCTTTTCTCTCCTTCAATATCCCTTTCTGGCCCTTAGAGTGGGACAATGCAGAGTGCAGATCCTAGGTCTAATTTTGGAGCTGCTAAGCACTACTTTAATTAGAGCTCCTGGGAGCTATGAATGGTTTGTTCCACTAAAAATTAGGGCCTTTATACTTATCACTAATTGATTCAGTCAATTTGTTAACGCACCTAAAACAGCTTTTAATGGACATGGTAAATTACTAGTTTCCATCTAATTGCAATCCATTTATTCATTTATAAAATATTAACATAATTTAGAGAAACTGATATAATCTGAAATAAACCTCATTTCTATCACTGTATGTCTACTGTCTTTTTCTACAGGAAGATCCCTATGTTATGTACAAGAAGTCTGACAAGCCCTTGTATGGAAATGACAGATTCGAGGGTTATTGCCTGGACTTACTAAAAGAGCTGTCAAATATTTTAGGCTTCATCTATGAGGTCAAACTGGTTTCTGATGGTAAATATGGAGCACAGAATGACAAAGGAGAGTGGAATGGGATGGTCAAAGAACTCATAGATCATGTAAGATTGAATCCTTCTCTCTTTATTCTTCTTTCACCTGTGGTATTTTATGTGAAGCCAGGCCAAATGAAATGTTAGCTTCAGTTTTCTTTCTCTTTTAGAGCCACTAAGTCTGTCTTTATTGCCACTTGTCAGAGTAGGAAGTTGCATCAGTACATCTGAAACAACAGTTTGCAGGTGTTGGGGGGGAACCTCCATCCACGGTGGGGCAGCAGGCACTGAGCTAGAGCGTGTCCTGCCCCCACCTTAGCAACAAACTCCAGTGGCAAAGGCTGAACTTCCACCTCACGTCTGCCCTGTGGCAGTCTCTGGTCTGTGGACATAGTTCCTGCCCAGATGTTCATAGAATCATCATCATAGAATGGCCTTAGCTGGAAGGGACCTTAGAGATCATTTTAATCCAGCCTCCCTGCCGCCAGGGATGCCACCTCTCGACTAGATCAGGCAACACATGGGGACCGAACGGGAACTGCTGTTCCAGCAGTCCTTGCACACTGTTTGTCCCACAGCACAGGACCGAGTCCCATGTCCCTTGTCAAACCTCTCCTACTCACGTGAAAGTCACAAATGTCCCTCTGCCTGCAAAATGAGGAAACAGAACGTCGCGTGCCAAATAATAACCTAGCAAGGTTAAATTTTGTCACACGCTTCAGAATTATGGTGAAAATTCATTTGATGTTTGATACTTGGGGGGAAAAATGGGAGGGCAAGGAGTGCATTTGCTGAGTATTTTCCCATTTGTGTTTTCAGAAAGCTGATCTCGCCGTTGCTCCTCTCACTATCACCTATGTAAGAGAGAAAGTAATTGATTTTTCCAAGCCCTTCATGACGCTGGGAATCAGTATCTTGTACCGGAAGCCTAATGGGACAAACCCTGGTGTTTTCTCCTTTTTAAACCCTCTTTCTCCTGATATTTGGATGTATGTTCTCCTAGCCTGCCTTGGAGTCAGCTGTGTCCTGTTTGTCATTGCAAGGTAAGATGCAGGTGTAGTTTTAGATGCATCCGCATTAACTACCTCTCCTCCCACAGGTGTTGCATGGGCTCTGCGAAGTATATACAGTATAACACTATCCTAAGGGTTTTATCCAGGTCTAAAATATAATGTTCTAGAAATTCTCTTGGTATTTTCACATCAGCATTGCTATCACTTTTATATATTGCAGTGTGATGAGATTTTACTTTCCTTAAGGGCTTAACGGAGACAAATATCTAATGAAATGTGTCAGCTTTTCTTTGTCAGTACACAACATCTCAGCAGACCACATGTTGAAAAATGGTTTATATTACTTGCGTGTAAGCACTTCTCTTTTCCACTAACAGCGCATACCTTAAAAGGTAAGAAAGAGGACGTGAACATATTTTTGCTGAAGGATGTTAATTAGCTCAGCTAATTTACCCTTGAAAATACAAGATGATGCGACTGGGAACCTCAGGGGTCAATCTGCAAGGTGGAGTATACCCAAGGCTCTCTCCTAGTGCTGTCCTGAGGTGCACCATTCCTGTCAGTGTCCCTTTTCATAACCAGCAGGAAATAAGCACATACATATCGCTTTTCCAGGTGAAGTCAAAGCTCATAAAGTTGTCTAAGGCAGGTGTGTCACAAAGTTTCTGGACCGATGGTCCGTAGTCACATCTCCAGAGAACCAGGAGAGCACTCTATGTTCTTATCATTAAATGTTGCCTTTAAAAGCTCTAGACAGCGGGTATGGTTTCACAAACTGGGTACAAACTACTTGTCGTGGCCTCAGAGACCATGGACCACAGTCTAGGAGCCAGTTGCTCTAGGGCTCTGAACAAGAGCAAACCAAGCATGAAAGAAAATGAACTTAGAAACTTGTCAGAGGAAACTGGTCATTTGATGCAGACTTTTTTTCTATAGTCCAAAATAAACCTAGACTCTGAACTGGTACAGTTATTGTCCTTTTCCTCAGCTAGTGGCCTTTTAATTTCATTTCCAACTCTGTTTATTTGATTTCATCCTATCCTCCATTTTTTCCTCTTTTATAATTTAAAGTGCAAGTATTTTTATTACCACGTCAGAGAGATTCATGTTTTGGTTCTTTATACTGACAATCACTAAATAAGACTTTCTCCACTTCTCTTATGTATTATTTTGCATGTACAAAAAATATATTCCACATTATGATGAACTTTAAAGGTCCCTTCTAGCCCAACACATTCTGTGATTCTCTGATTCGATGATCTATGATTCTATGATTATTAAACTATACAGAAAATGATCCAAGAAAATATTTGTACTATGAAACATAAGAACTGAAGTGATGTATCTTTGGGAGTCTACACATTCACATCACACCAAAAGTGACATAAATGCTGCAGTTAATGTTGCAAATTGTGGCGTTTCTTTAAGAAGTCAACAATAAAGTATATATTCCGATGTATACATACATATACCTCATTCTAAGGTGATAAAATAACGGTAATCTGGATCGTTAATTCTGGTTATATAGTATGTTACACCTGACTTCCACTTCTGTGTGAGCCAGGACAAATCACAGAGTCACAGAATGTTAGAGGTTGGAAGGGACCTCGAAAGATCGTCTAGCCCAAACCCCCTGCCAGATCAGGATCCCTGAGAGTAGGTCACACAGGAATGCGTCCAGGCGGGTTTTGAAGGTCTCCAGAGAAGGACACTCCACAGTCCTCTGGGCAGCCTGTTCCAGTGCACCAATTGCCCCTTGTCCTGTCATTGGACATCACTGAAAAGAGCCTGGCTCCATCCTCCTGACACTCCCCCCTGACATATTTATAAACACTAATGAGGTCGCTCCTCAGCCTCCTCTTCTCCAAGCTAAAAAGACCCAGCTCCTTCAGCCTTTCCTTATAAGGGAGATGTTCCTCTCCCTTAAACATAAAGCTCTTGCTGCTCTTCCTCCAATTCACTGTTGTCTTTGAATCAAAAGACATAGCCCTGCAAAACTTTTACTCACCCAAGCGGTTCTGCTGGCAGTGACTGGCCTCAAACATACATTTCTCTGTGGTCCACTGAAAAACACTGGTTCTAGGTGGACAACTTAAGCAAATGCTTTGCTTGTTTGCATTCTATACTGGTACCAAAGTGCAGAAGTTTGTGAGATTTTCTTTTTCCTTTAAATTGCTGAGAATGAGAAGAACGAGAAAGGACTTAGAGAAGGAGAGGTCATGGGTTAACTTAGTGTTGGCCCTAGGTAAAAGAAAGAGTTTATACATTCCTGGCAGCTATGGGAGTGTATACAATTAGTCATGACTTCCCACAAGTTCTTGCAGTGGCTCACTGTACCAGAAATAATAACTCTTACTGTACGCGAATCATGATCTCATTCATGACTAATATTAAATCTGCTCAACTGTGACAGATTGACTTTTCTGCAGTGCCAAGACTAAAAACATCCCACAGTCGTCTGCCCCTCAGAACAGGCGGAAGGGAAAACAAAGCCCAAGTTATCCTTGGTGCTTCTATTTTTTGTAATAATGGCATCAAGTTTGCAAGAATAAATAAGCATCAGGGTCCTCCATCTGCTCACAGGGCTGCCTACACGCAGACACATGGCCAGGAGCAAACCAGAGGGAAACACGCAGTGCTGACAAATCACCAGCTGTGAAACCTTTTCTTCCTTGGCTGTTAAATATTTCTCCAAATCACACTGTAGCCTTTGGGTCAATCCATAGGTTCGAACTGTGTAACTGCATTATGTTTTGTCTTTGAAATCTTTCTAAAAAGCACTAGTTCCAGGAACAGCATGACTGATTTCTCGATGGATTTGTGTCTTGTGGTGGACTGTGATTGCCAATTGAAGTTTGTTTGTCTGTTTGTTTGCTTTCCCTGCAGCTGAAGGATTTATAGGCAATCTTTCCTGTGTGGATTAACTGATACGTAACGAGCTGTGAGTTCATCCTGCAGCTTCTCTCCTAGTGGGCCTACTACTGCAATGTTTCACACCACTTGCAGGAATATAAGAACCTCTAAGGCCTCTTCCTATTTGTCAAATGTGGCTAAAACTAGCTAAAAGGCTTACATGTCATTAGAGGTACAGATCCCCACACATTCATAACACACAGCACAAAACCCAACTTGTCACAACCTATATATATCAAATTTGCATGCCATTCTTATAAGCCACTTATTTTAGAAAAAGAGGAAAAGAACATACTAATTCAGCAAAACAGTTAACATAATTTTCTGAATGGTTTTTCTCTCTGACACAAATGCTTCTTCTGAACTGATGCCTAAAAGCAGTGCATGATTAGATTGCAACTACATAGGCTGAAGAAGTACACAAAATTCTGTTCGTGTGTCATCTTAATTTACTTTAAACTTAATAAATTTTAATTTACTCCAAGAAGCTAAGCCATTCTTGCAGTCCACATCTAGACCTGTTCATATCTTCAAATACATCAAGATTTCTGCAAGATTTGCCAAGTGTTTCAGCAAATAATGGTTAGATTGGTTTTAAGAACCTCAGGAAGCATCCACTTGCTAATACTGCACCAGTAAATTAAATGGTTAACAGTATTTTGACACTAATTCATAGAAGACAAATACTTGGGAATAATTTTCATAGACTGTGATATCTTCCTGTTATTTTTCAGGCTCTTCAGCATCTGAATAATTTCTCGTTTGTCCTTGAGCCTTATGTAGCACTGTCATTGTTATATTAATTTTTAAACTCAAACACTGAAGATTTTATCACTGTAAAGGGTTACAGACTGACAAAGCTCTTTTTGTAGGTACACTGGCAGTGAATTAATAAGTAATTTTCTGCCAAAATTTCCCTTTACTGCTAATACCCTATCAGCTATGCTGTTGATGTCAATGATGGTAGAGCTAGGCAGCTGAGGTAACCACCAGTGGTGAATAATGTCACAAGGACCCTATATAAAAAGGTGCTTAGGTGACCTTGAGCATCTCATGTTTATTGGTACCTTCAGCATAATTGCGGCTGAAGGACCAAAGAGGAAGAAAACCAGAGGAAAATATCCAGGAAAACAGGTCTGAACAGTGAAATATAGCTGAATTGTAAGCCAGCCTCTTAGGGCTCAGCCTAGTGATAGAAACACAAGCAAATCAACTTGTGTTTCCAAGTGAAAAAGAAATATATACCTTAGTAGCATGTCAAAATATACAGCCAGAGCTATAAAAATCTTTCCAGACTGGCAGAAAGGGTGTTGTTGCCAGAACCTGAATAATGGTTGTTGTCTGACAGGATGCAAGACCCCAGCCTTGGGCTTCCCAGTCAGGTCAGGCAAAGTTATTTGTACATCTTCTTACTGTCCTGTATTAACACTGTGGGACCCTGTGGGTGAACATTCAGCATGGGACCTTTTCACTTCTAAGACAGTTGACAGCTCAGGCAACCTACAGGTCCTAATTCTGGGTCTCTTGTCAACGATGTTTTTCCCCACATGTGTACAAACTGATTTTGTTACTACATAACAGTTGCTTTAATTATTCTAGCACAAATTTGAAACATATAACCTGCTGATTGTTTTTCTTTTACTTGGAGTATGCAGAACTGTTGTATCTTGAACCTGAAGACTGTGTCTTTTGTTAGGATTTTTAATACTGTCATACTAGTAATGGTAATATTGTACGGCTAATGGCATCCTAAGCTACATACTGTTTCAATTAGTGGGTTTATTATTATCAGAGTTCATTACTTCAGCTAAGCAAGGCACTCTGCTTGCAACCGTGCATAAATTCAATGCTTAATTATATTGTTGAAACAGTAATTAAAATGTATTGGCATGACACTGTCAATTAAAGCTATATTCATAAACTTGAAAGAGTTTGCAGCAAGCCATGCAGCGGTGGGAAGCAACAGCAGGCAAGGTACCTCGGGGAGAAATGGTCCTTGCTGTGGCTCTGCCAAGTGTTGTGCAGAGCAGAAGGGGAACAGCTTGCAGTTTGCAGGACGGTCGGTGGAGAGTAGAGCAGAGTTCTCCTGTTAAAGGCAATCCTCTGCCGAATTCTCTCCTGGTAATGCTGACAGCATGGCCCAGTAGCTCTCAGGCGCTGCAATTGCTCCCAGACACCTTCAAACGATCCACAGCCTTCGGCAGCCTCGTGCACGGAGAACGTGTTCAGCGTCCAGCAACTCAGCGATGGCTGCCTTTCGGGGGATGCTACACCTTCATTATTTTCTAAAGGCTTTATAAAAGAACAGCTGTGTGGCTTCCAGTTGTCCCCCCACCCCGGCAAATGTCTGTTTGTCTGTCAGCGGTGCAGGCAGGGAAGTCGTGGGGCACTGCAGCAGCCCTTGAGAGCTCTAACCCAAGAGCTGGAGGAGTAAGGGAGCAGCCTCGTGCTTGATCCAGGACTGTGAAAAAGGCTCCTGGCGTCGCAGCATTGCTTGCACAAGGCAGGTGTGAGATGTCCCACAGACGGCCTTTCAGCTGAGGTTTTCCTTTTTCTTATTCCCTTCATTAACCTCCTCACTTTGTGTGTTGGTTTGCTGCCGCTGTGTGTACTCTATTTGATGTTTACAGATTGTTTCTGTTAACTGCCGCAGGTTTACACCATATGAATGGTATAACCCCCACCCGTGCAACCCAGACTCAGATGTGGTGGAAAACAATTTTACTTTACTAAATAGTTTCTGGTTTGGAGTTGGAGCTCTCATGCAGCAAGGTACACCGGTTACACTCCGTTATCGCACACGTCCCACAGTCTGCTCAAGGGCTTCTGTGCTGGTAAACTCCACCCTCTTGTAAATATAACGTATACTGTAAAACCTGATCTCAGAAACTAAGCAATAGAAGAAAGGAAGAAAACAACATGTCCCTGCAACCAGGAGCAGGCGAGAGGAGGAGAACCTCTGAAACGCAGAATAGGGCTGCAGCAGAAGGAGGGAGAGGAAGCATCTGGGAGAAAGGGAAGCGGACAGGGCCACAAGGGAGTTTCTGGAGCTGAAAATCACAAGAGGAATATGAAGTGCTTCATGCTGAAGTCGAGTTTATTGGGATCAGACGTTTGGCAACAGGAAAATGTTGGGCTCCATCCCAATGGAAACAGTAACAGTCTTAGCTACCCTAGAAAGACTGTTACAGCTGCCAAACAAAAAAAAATATACTCTTTCTTCAGAAGGGTTGTTAAGTTTACTGGCAATTGTCAAACACTTTGTTTAAAACCAAAACCAAACCTTTTTTTTTATGGCTTTTCTGCAGGTATGAGTCCCATCCTTCTGTAAATGCATCCAACCCTAGAAGCATTAACTTAACCCAGTTACAAGTCCCTGTTGCCGATGATTTTGGAAAAAGATGACATTTTACTCAGTTGACAAGGAAGGGCAGTGAAGCTTACTCCATATGGAAATTCAAACAGATATGTGTACTAAACACATTTGTTTACGGTGTGTATGTTCTAAGGTTTCCGATTAAATCACTATTCACCAAAACTGGGGTCCACTGCAAAGAACGAAAATATTTTCTGACAAACATTTCAAGTCGAATCAAAGCTGAACAAAAAACCCCACCCCACAGCAACAACCAAAAAGGCAATCCAGAGGAAAGCCCAGCAGTACCTTGGTATTAAATTCCTAAACATTTAAGTAAGGAACATAAAACCATCTCTGCGTTCATCCAGGTACAGTTTATTCTTCCCTCTTTAATAGACATGAGTAGCACACAAAAAAAAATAAAAAGAGGATTTTTTTCCCAAGATATGGTTAAGAATATACTTTGTATTGTACCCAAAGTGCACTTGCTTTTATTGGTGCACCAATGTATTGACAGCATATAGATCTTCCTCACAGAAAATACTTTGAAGGAGGTTGGGTGAAGGAAGAGCCATTCTGTTTCGCTTTTCTGGTTTTCTTCTGATCTGTCAGTAGTACACAAGCTGAGGTTTTACAGTATCAGGCAGGTGTGTGTATATAACTGTGATTTCCCTGTGTGTGAAAGTGCCCCAGGATTTTGTGTTTCGATGTACTGCCTTTTTTGGAGTTTACCATCATCCACAGCAAACTGTGGGATGCAGTGTCTGCTCGTTACCACTACCTTGGGTACATGACAGTCAGCCCCAACCAGACTCTGCTTGTCTTTCAAGAAGATTAAAAACAAAACAAAAGAGAGAAATGAAAGAAAAAAAAAGGAGAAAGAAAGAAAGAAAGAAAAAACATTTGTAAGGCAACACAAATGTTTCCATGTACAAACTTGTGGTGCGTGTGATTGTAAGTGCATCATCATTAATGTGACGAGTTTGAACATGATGTGAATGGTTGTGAAACTCTGCATTTAGCGTTACCCTCTTCCCCGTTGGCAGCAGCTGCTTGTTATGCTTGATTGGAAGCCACTTGTTATTAAATTTTAAAATGTGATGATCAGACTTTCTCTTTTCTACAGAGCGTGAGCAAAGTCTGGATCAGGATTGGCTGTCATGTCTGCCATAAAAAGGCACTAGAGAGACTTCAGCAAGTATTGTCTCTGACCCCGAGTCTTGCTAGCAACGTTTTTATTTAGACAATTCTTCCCCTGTTTTCCCCCTGAAAGTCTCAGATGTGTTATGAATACCCTGAAGGCATCCAAACAGGGCACATTTCATCCAACTCATTCAGAGAAATGATCACTTTCAGAAAGGAAAGCGAGCTGTCAAAGCCCCAGTTCAGCCAGGCAATGGGTCAGACCAGGAGCATCTGGTTAAGGCAAGCGCATAGGGCAAAGCCAATGAGCATGGAGCATATAGTAATGTTTTGGCTGGAATCAAGACCCTCAAAAAGGTGAACATTGAAATAATTATGGGAGTGATCAAAAGAGATGCTGGGCCCACTCAGCTCAGCTGGGAGCAGAGCATGCTCAGCACCTCACAAAAGCCAACCGGTAGCTCACTGCATAATTAATAGACTGTGGCATTTTGAGCTTAATTGAAGTAAATATATTCTGCTGCTTTCTCACAAACAACTTTTTGCTAGAGGAAGTCACAGGAGGTTTGGCATCTCACCCTACAAATTCCGCACACCGGGACTTCTCCGCCTACTCTCTTGTGCTGCCGTAAGGCTGCGCTGGCAGATTTCAGGGCTGCTTGTTACAATATCTGTAAGGTATCTGGCTCTTGTGCATTATTGGGATGTATATGTCAGAGGTAGGTATTGCAGCAGGATCCAAGTGTAGAAATTATAGTTGTATAGCTGTCTAAGCTTAAAAGAAATAATACCTTTGGGATGACCTGAATCAGCACTCCTAGAAGCCAGCTTTTGCAGGTCAACCCCAGCCTAGAAATAAATACGCACTTTTCCTGAGAACTACAGTACCAAAAAAACCAGGAAAAATATTTCATTGCATTAAAGAAGGAATTGTAGTCTGAAAAGCAAGAAAGTACAACAGACCACAAATACAAATCCAGATAGAGCTACAGCTCTTTAAACAAGCATGTTTGAACTAGAAAATTTCAAGTGACAGTTTTTGCTTTTAGACTGCTGACTTAATTTGAAATCCATGCAGCACCAGGGCTGCACATCCAGAGCATCTGCTCTCACAGTTAGGCAGTTCTGTCAACCTACTCAAACCCTTGGGCTGTGCTTAGCTTTGACCTTTAAGAGACATGTCTATATGGTTACAAAGCTAAGTTAAATCTGTTTGCTTGTTGTTTGGGAAGTTTTTACCCTTTCAATATTTGCCCCAAAAGTAACATTCAGAGTTTTTATGAAGTCTGAAAATATTCTCTGTAACATGTTTAAATTTTTTACAGAAACAATTAAATAGCTGGGGACAGATAATATGTCAACACATTTTTCCAGTAACAGAAATATGTGTGTCACACCAAAAGCTTTATGTGCTGAGACCTCCATTCCTAGGCACTTAAGTACTTTCTTAAGTCCATCCTTCATCAACAAAATAATTTCGCAAAGGCTTAACTCCGAAGTCAAAAGTATTCAAGTGCCTGTCTAAGTGCTTTGCTGAACCAGATCCTTGAATCCCACATAATGAGCTAAGTTCAGTGGGGACACCTCTAGAAAAAACAGCACAAATCTTGCATTCGAATGCTTAGAAATACATGTCTGCCTTAAATACGTTTATCATCTGAGATGTTTAGGAGACATTTTAGTGCACTTAACACCCACATGTGGTATTCTGTGGGTTTTTATGACAATGGCAGATCACTCTGATTTTTATTTGTGTGACACACAGGAAGATCTGCTAAAAGCTTTCCAGCAATAATGAGTGTTAAATACACTGCACAAAATTTTCCATTGCCCTGTAGATCCAAAGGACACATCCATTCACACTCTGAATTTTCAAATGTAAACCATGCATTTGTAATAAGATGTCTTCCAGATTCGAGCTCAGCTTCACACAGGCTGATGAGTTCTCTGGAACTGTATTGATCCCCCTCTTTCTGCTTAGATTTGTCAATAGGATGCACAGGGTAGATTTAAGTTATTTCTGCCAGGTAGTTTGTAAGCAGAATAGCTTTCTGCTAAAGATGTGCAAAAAAAATGATTACAGCATACTCACAAAAAGAGACTCAGGAAATGGACAAAAATACTAGTATAGCTTGCTGGGGATGTCAGAGGTTAATATCACAATGAGCATTAGCTCAGAGATGTAATGGGGCTTAGACCTAAGGATAATTCCATTTGTCATGTATCACGGCATACATCCCCTTCACAGTGTGTTACCATTATAAATGTTAGCTGTGCATCTGTGAGATTATTGTTTAAATCATTTTATCATACTACAGCTCATAAAAGCATTCTGTGCCTAAAAGCAGTCTGTGGTATCAGGAAAGGCATCTTTCAGCATCATTTTAATATGATTGTTTTGATGATATTGTAACAGGATCAGAACTGATGCCCAAAGCTCTTTCTACCAGAATAGTTGGAGGAATATGGTGGTTTTTCACCTTAATCATAATCTCATCCTATACTGCCAACCTGGCTGCCTTCCTGACCGTGGAGAGGATGGAATCCCCCATAGATTCAGCAGATGATTTGGCAAAGCAAACCAAGATAGAGTACGGGGCTGTTAGAGATGGATCCACAATGACCTTCTTCAAGGTAAGATGGCATCAGCTAGCTCTGTACGGTCGGACTGACTCATGGCCCTCCAGCAACAAATGGTGAGGTGGAATTACAGCGTTTCAAGGATTAGCGTAATAGGTAAATACATCATTTGCTCAAATCCATAGAGGATCCTTCAACAATATTAATGTAAAAGATGGGAGATTTCCCCTAAGGCATCTGGAGAAACAATCCCATGTTTTATTACTATGAAGGGCAAATCCGTGCCTTTGATGCGAGGATCTGAAGGGAATCAGGGCGTGGACATGGGGACATCCTCCTCCAGGTTTCTTCTCAGGGTGAGATCTCTGCTTCTTCCAGCTGCTTGGCTAAGATCGCTTCTGAAGATTGCATTTGTACCAGAATAATGCTGTAAGCAGTGAAAGTCCTAGTCTGTTTGTCCCTTTTAAAAAAAAATGTCCCATGGTCAGTATTGCACAGACCATTAGTGTATGGGCCACGTATACACATGAACACATCTGTAAGTAAAAGATTGTTTTCTGTGGCTAATTGCTTTGTAGATAACTGCATTCTTTTTTTTTTCTTTTTTCTCACTATTATTATTAATTACCTACAAAATGGGTTAAATCTGATAAAATCTCAAGCTAAAAACCAGCAAGCTATCAATATGGGATGTACTCCCAAAAATCCTCTGACAATTAGAATTAATTAGCAGCTTCATCAGTAGTCTCAGCAGGGAAGTAAAGCACTGAATGAACCAGTATCATGCTTTTCACTGTAGCACCTAAGAATGGTGTTGATAGGCAGTCAAATATGCAGTGCCTTTGAAGATGATGAGATGCTGTGGGGAAGCAGCATGGGGGTCAAAATAACACTCGGGCCATGCACGAGCCCTCTCCCCAGCTGCTCCAGCCCAAGTCCCCTGCCCTGCTTTAACCACGAGTCCTTATGCTTCTGCAAGAGGCAAAATGCTTACACACAAAAAGGATCTTGGCTAAAGTATTTGGGTCATGTCTCAGAACAAATAATGCTCATCAAGGACATTTTAATCACATAATAATATCTGATAGCAGGCTATCCCTGCTGGAGCTCTCAAGGGTGAACTGCCCTTCTGATACCTCTCCTGTGGCTGAATAGAAATGTTTTCATGCAGAAAGAAACACACAAACTCAGTATTTTTCAGAGTCTAATTACAGTCAGGTCTTGAAACGATGAGCTGACATTTTCATTAAGATATGCTGGGAAACTCATCTGGAGGTATTCCTGGAAACTGCGTAAGGCAAGGACTGGACTCTTAGCAGGGATGTAAGGCAGGAGGAAGCAGCTGTGTTGCCTTCTAAAGGGCTCTGGGAAACTCCCTTGGCCTAAGAACTCTTCACTGCCCAAAGGCAGTCACTGCCATTGCTATTCTGAAGTCAAATTCAGCATCAGAGAGAAAACTCAAAAACCTGTTTCTTCTTTTTTTTTTTTGGAGGAAATAGCTTCTGAATTTCAACATCGGAAGTTTGGAACAAATTTTTAGAGCTGTTTTCAGCATTACACTGATTCTTTTTTCACCATTAATCCCTAATGTTAAAATTTCTATGCTTACAAGAACACAAATCTTTTAAAAAAAATACTCTTTATCACACCAGTAAACCAGTAAGACACACACGTTGTTGTATAAAAAGTGTTATTATTCTAATTACACATATCCTTCAAGATCCTCACAAGATTAGGATTTCTTTACACCATCCAAAACTTAAAAAAAACCAATCACAGTAAGGCTCTGTGCAGTTAATACAATACCCATGTATGCAAAAGGAAGACTGTGTGCTCTGTGAGGGCATGATGTTACCTCCTCCGCTCTGTAAAATACTGCATATACTTCTGGAGCTAAGTAAGCCCATACACACAGATACAGCAGTAAAAGACCTGAGAATCAGGAGAAGCAAAAGTAAGAGTTTCTGGGCAGCGGTTATTCCCATTCCCACACGTAGTTGTATGAATTATGGTATAGCACTTTGCCATAACTTCTCTAGAGAAGACACTTGAAATACCTCAGCCTCTTTTGGGGGAGCTGTGGAGACCTGACTTGGCCTGGGCAGTTTCCTCCAGGCTACCCTATGCCACGATGGACTCTGGGAGCACCCCAACACCCAGGGATACCCCCTGACAGCCATGCCCCTATGATTTGAGGGCTGGAGGAGCTGAGCTGGGTTGAAAGGTGCTTTGCACCACGGGCAGTCATAGAATCACAGATTTATAGAATGTCTTAGGTTGGAAGTGACCTTAAAGATCATCTGATCCAACCTCCCTGCCACAGGTAGGGATACCCTTAACAAGACCAGGTTGCTCAAGTCCTCCTCCAACCTGGCCTTGAATATCTCCAGGGAGGGGGCATCCACAACCTCTCCGGGCAATCTACTCCAGAGTCTTGCCACCCTCACACTGAAGAATTTCTTCCTAAGATCCAATCTAAACCTACTCTCCTTCAATTTAAATCCATTTCCCCTTGTCCTGTTGCTAGACAGTCTTGTAAAGTGTCCTGCCACCTGGGAGTGCTGATGTGATGGTGACAAGGAAGGGGGAAAGGAGGGATCAGCACAAGCAGGTGCAACAGCAGTAAAAATGCCCCGCAGGAGTGTAGCATGGGGATGGGTTGCACTAAGGAAGAGTGTTCACATTTCCTGTGTTGCAAGGTTTGAATTATCTAAGGGCTATACCCAGTACTTAAAACAAGAAATGCCAAGAGAAACAGCAGACTCTTTCAGATCAACATTTTTTTAAAAGCAAAACGAGGTTCCTCACCATGGAGGAGAGAGGAACAAGAGAGTGCCCATTGTGTAGGACACTAGGTGCAAAGACCAGATGAGTCTGATTTTCAGGATTATAAGAATACACATGGCAAAAGGATTTCTGAAGATGTCAGGTGCAGAAAAACATCCGGGTGTGAGGTAAACTCTGAAGAGCTTTGGTTTAGGACTTTGTGCTTGAAGTAGCAGCAGGAAGCCCCTGAAAAAGTATGCTACACAATGTACCCACTGGATGGAATGCAGTGGGAAACACATGAGAAAAGCAAAGTATTTTGGCTGCTTTTCTGAAAACTCTATTCACATTTATTCAAATTGATACCACTTTTTATATTTTAGTATATGCATTGCTTACAGTGCATCTACTAACAGTAGTGTTTCTCCACTAATTTTGAATGCCTTACACTAGTATCACTGTTGTAATAGTGTCCTCAGAAAAATAATTGCAAAAGAACAATATTTTCAAGAAAGTTTCTGCAGCACCTCTGCCTTCTAGCCAGGTAGTAGGGAGAATGAAAATAAAAGCAAATGAAGTAATATGATGGAAAAAATGAAGTTCTGACTTTTAAAGAATCTGAGTCGGCCTCCTCCCTGGACAGAGGTCCCAGATCTGGCCATACTAGATGAAAATAACCAGAAAACAGGGCTTGAACAGCTAAGGAGTGCTCCAGTGTGGGCTTCTAGGCAAGCGAGCCAGCAGGATCTCAGGCAGCATTCACTACCTGTGTGCATGTGCAAATTTGGGAAAAGTCCAACTGAAGGCAAGATGTTTCACATCCACAAATCATGACACACACATATTTCTCCAGTCTGATGTCCTGCTCTGTTTCCAACACATCTATATATCTTCCATTGCTTTCTTGCCCCTCTGTGATGATAAATCTTAACCTCATGTTGCAGTTCTTGCCACCTTCTACCTTCTGATACACAGACATGTTTCTACTGAAGCCAGTGAGAATCTGAAGGCCAGAATTTGGCATATATATTTGGCATATCCTGAAAATAATGGGAGTTGGCAAGTTGAGAAGCTGAGATCTTTCTTTCAAACTCAGCTGAATATGGAATATATCCTTCCAGTAAATTCAATATCAGAGTCAATCTACTACATAATCATATTGTCAATTTAAAAAAGTATTCCCAACTGAGCAGTAAAAATGTTTTCTACTAGTGAAGAGCCACTTAACCATCTTCAAAATTTAGTGTTATCCTGTGGCTTACCAAACTTAGGTGCAATTTAGGTGACATTCACAGGTATTGAACTTACAGGTGAAGCATATTAACATTTAAAGATTAAAGAACCAGAAAATCAGCTTTCCCTAGGAATCCCCCAAACACTGGTGTTTAATAAGCACATAAGTTCTCCACACAGTGAGCCTAAAATCACCCGTGATGGCTATAAACCAAACACAGGGCCTGTGGTGAAGGTGAGGATATACTGCCCTAGAACTGGGGAAGCATAAGCGTGTGGAGAACCTTCACCTCATATTTACACTACAAGGTCTGTGTGTGTGTTTGGCTCATGCTAGGCTGCAGCCCATAGTAGTTTTGCAGTGACTGGCTTTGCTGTCTTGAGACAAAATCTTCCTAGTGACAGCTTCTAATGGTCCAGCTGTCTGAAGGTCTACCTGGATATTTAATCCAAAAGTGACATTTTGTGCTCATTGTTGTTTGAGAGCATACAAGAAGTTTAATCATGTGTAAGTGCCCAACAGGCTTTTGGTATGTAGGTAACACATCTCGAGCGTAGCAAGCACAGGGCTTCAGCATGTCCCTGAGCACTTTCAGCTTTTCTTTTCGTAACCTCCAACAAAGGCAGAAGTGTAAAAACGAGGGCACAGGCCCCTCGCGGACTCCCACAGCATGGGAGAGGAACAGGGAGGAGGGGATGTTCAGCACTAAATGGAGGTGGTTGGGGCTTCTGGCATCCCTATTCCGTGTGCAGCTGAGCACTGACAGAGGACACAGTCCTCCTTTTAACTTCAGTGGGAGAAGGAAGAAGTCCTGAAATCTGATTGCGATAGAAAGCAGAAAACAGAAGTTTGCTTAGAAGCCTCTTTGAGTTTGTTTCTCAAGCTTTATCCTTGAAGTACATGACTTCTAGGCAAGTGATATCAGTAAAAAAGAGCCAGTTCTTTATTCATCATCGGGCTTTTGGAGTAGTGTGTTTGCCCTGACAGGCAGAAACACTGCTTCTGAGTGTAGCAGTATCCAGCTGCGCTTGTTTAGCTGGGTTATGTACTGTAATCCATGTAACAGCATTAGCTCAAAAACTTCAAAGCACTTCACAATCGTGCCAGTAATGAAGTTCCTGGCACTGCAAAGAAGTGAAAAAGAGAGATTCCTCAGCATAAAGCACAGTAAGAGAGAAAGGCTGCGGGAAGGAAAATCCTGCTACCAATTCTCTTTCATTCAAGATGTGCTATTGGCATGAGTCACAACAAAAGTCTGAGGAATATTTTGCAAGTGTAATTTGGGTGCTGGTGTGATTCCGTGCCCTCATTTCCCTTCCTTAGAAATCCAAAATATCAACGTATGAGAAGATGTGGGCGTTCATGAGCAGCAGGCAGCAGACAGCGCTGGTGAAGAACAACGATGAGGGAATCCAGCGTGTGCTAACAACGGACTATGCGCTGCTGATGGAATCAACCAGCATAGAGTACGTGACCCAGAGAAACTGCAATCTCACCCAGATTGGAGGGCTCATTGATTCAAAAGGCTACGGCGTGGGAACTCCCATTGGTAAGATGCTTTCCAGTGTTGTGCATTTCAGAAGTTTAGATGGCCATTTGAATCATGTCCTGGTCTATTAGAAACCTTGCTCATTGAAATAGACCCTGGGAGCCTCCTTTTAGGCAAAACATCTACTCTTGTCCTGCTCATCTGCAGCAGTCTCTGCAAGCAAGAGGAAATATAACAATACAGGCTATATCTGCACTGGAGCAAGGTCGAGTGACCTGCCTGCCTTCTGGCACATCCCATTCACAGCAAACTGAGTGTCCTCAGTGCTGCTCGAGATGCAAGTGGCTCTACAGAAATTCAGTTTAGTTTGAGAAATCAGATAGCATTTCTGGGAAAATAGAATTGAGCAGGATAAATGTTATGTCCAATGAATGCATTCCAAATAAAGCTGCATAAAAGCAGATGAATTTCTAATCTATTTCATGACCTCAGAGCAACACATAAGAACAGTGAGAAGCAATTGCAAGGTTCTGCATCTGCATCAGGGATTTCAGTGTTTTGAGCTAAGCAGAGCCTTAAGACTCTCAATCTCTGTGAACTCTTTCCAGTAGATTTTTTTAGCATATCCAATATCCTTTTCAAGATTTTCTAATTGTAGAGAATTAGAAATTGTGTGTGCTTTTTTCCGCGGTGTTCTTGTGAATAATTGGCACTGGGATGCCAGATCCTTTTCCTATATCATTTACTTCTCCATACTGCTCACATATGACTCTCAGTTAATAACTGTGCAATTTTATTGTCTTCAGGGGAATTATTCAAGGCAATATCAGTTTACACAGGTATAAAAGTATTGAAGTATTTGGTCCATTGTTTCATAAACAAGATAGTAATAAGGGAGAAACACCATTGCACTTTGAACTGTGATTTTTAAGCTACCGAGTACCTCAGGCAGATTGTCATATATATAAAATTTTAACCACAGTTTTCCACTGGCTATGTGAAAACAGCCTTCTCACATGGAGGAAACAGAGAAAAAAAGCCAAAATTCCAAATAAAGGCAATTATACAGCAAGAGTTTCCTTGCAGTTATAAAGCTGCCGCACTTTAAACCAAGAACAATGAAGGAATGATTGGAACAGATGGTAATCCTCAGAAAAAGAGCATCTATTGGAAATACAGCTGTGAAATATGTTTCTCAGATGTTTCTTGTATGATAAATAAACCTTATTTTTTTTTTAAGGAAAACCAAGAAAATTCAAGGGAATAGATATCTCCAAACACTATGGAATAATTCGATGCCATACAGCACCCATCTTAAATTCTTAAACAATTGAGTTCATAAACAGGATAAGCCATAGAGATCCTTCCACTATTCAGATGGACCTCAAATGCTCTATATTTCTCTCATAGCATTAAAGACTGTTGACTGCAGAAGCTGTATGAGGAAAAAAAAACAACAAACAAACAAAGAAAAAAAATGTCTGTGGCAACATCAAAGTTTCAGCGAGTCTTAACTGGTCTGCATTCAGTCCTTCAGAAAAATACATAACCACATGGCTAGAGTTTCAGTAACAAAATTATACCTCGCACTCCAAAATTTCCAGTGAATGAGCTGAAGGTCATCACTATTTGGGTCCCAAAGAAATGGGAAGAAGAGTTTTCAAAAGTTTTATGAATCCAGGAAATGCACTATTTTATCAGAGCATCTTCTGCAAATAAAACACTGCAGATGTAGGCTGTCTTCCTATTTTGTGATCAGTTAGGGTAAAGGAGATTTAGGCGTATCAACAAACATCTCCACTTATGTTTATTGTGGAGCCAATGGGTCACAGAGAGGAGGGCTTTCATCAGTTTCTTGGCAGAGAACAGTACTGATGAAAAATCTACAGCAATGGTTGGGGGTGAACTTAATGCGCTCTGGAAATGCTGCTGTAACAAAGGCATCTTTAAGAAAGACCTATTCAAAATGTCACCCTCGAAGGAATCTGGTTGAAGAAAGCGACTTTATTATAGATGTCAGTACAGGTATTAATTCCAGTATCACTGCCAGTGCTGATGCTAGTAATTCTAACACTAAAGCTATTACCGGTTACTTGGGAGACTGCTAAGAAAGTAGATAGATGCATTTCTTGGCCTGAGAGGGAGAGTGCTAATAGCTCAGAGGCCACTAATGATATGCTGAATATTCAAAGAGGTCTTGAGATGGATCTGTGTGCAGTTTTAGGGCTCACCAATAAAACATCACCATTCCGACACTTCAGGCACACTTGACAAACTTTAACAGCACGGATAGAAATATAGATGTACCTGTTACCCTCAAGATGAATTGCGATAATCCTGCTGGCAACATAAACATCACAAGAAAGAATGAACATCACCACAAATCCTGCGCTGTGACACAGGCTGCTTCACTTTACCTAACAGCTCTGTACTTTCATACAAAGGAAATAGATGAGTCGTGCAATCTAACAGACAAACCTTTCCTAAGGTAGAAACAATTCTGCTCTTTCTTCTGAGAGGTGCTGCTGTTTTCTGTGGTAATAATTCACTTCTCTGTGTCAGGTTCTGAAGATGTTTTTGTTTTGTTTTCTGTTGCGCTTATTTTTGGTTCCTTAATAGCATGCATAGAAATGATCTATTCTTACAGTAGGCATATTTTCCTTTCAAAGCTGGCTACCTCGAGCAGTGGCTGCTGATTGCTTGCTTCCCAGATGGACTTTGTGTAATCTGACACAGCTCTCTTGGCATCTGTGGTCACAGCATGCCCTAATGCTGGCAGTAAGATACACTGAGAAATAGCTGCGTGTTGGCGCAACAAATGAAGAACTGCAATGTTTTTCACACTGATTGTTCTCAGACAATGCTGTGGGCTAAGGGAAATGGAAAGCAGAGAGGGGGACTTCTATTCTTTACACAATTATTTTTAATAATGTTTTTCACGGCAATATAAGACAGCAAACTGAAGCTGTGAGGCCAAATTTCCAAGGCTCTTCAGATGTTTAAAAACACAAAAGTGGCGCCTACTGAGTTTTTTCTTAAGTGTCTATGTCTACATGCACACTATCACTAAAATTCTGGCACACATTCTGCCTTATAAGTTAGTTTACTTTCATCAGCTTGAGAACTACAGTTACTTTATTTCACAGAAAAAATGTGATTTCTGGTGAAATTTCAGGTTAAGAAAATAGATTTATTGATACACTAAAGGAGAGGAAAGAATGGGGGGTAGTTAACTATTTGGACAAAGAACTGGTAACATTGTATTTCAGCCCAGATGCTAAATGCTTCCAACTGCAGGAAGTCCAACATGTCAGGATTTGGGGGCACACATGTGCTTTTAGAGCCAAAAAGACCTTCTTGGAACTCTCTCCTGCTTGTTATCATAAATCCGTGCCCTTTTAAGAAAAGTCTCTCTCACAATGCCAAAACTAGCTTCCACTTGCCTATTATAATTAATAACAGGTTTGTTGCTCTTATTGTTGATAACTTCAGCTTCTGGCAACATGGGAGAAGATAATCGGTAGCAATTTCCTTTAACTAGGCGCTGCTCCAGGAGCGGGGTGAGGGGTAAGCCTCTCCCTTATCCCCCTTTAGGGCTACAGACTTGTGCTTCTGCAACAGCACAAGCTGATTGATGGGACTTAAAGGCAGCAGAGATTTTGGAAGATGGAGAGCCAGAGCAGAGTGCATGAGAGGCAGACCTAAACAGATTGAACTGCCCGATGTGACCCCCGCTATTTGCCAGATAATGTACAGGCCTATTAATGCCGCTGAGCCTGAAGACACGTCATTTGAGCAAGCTGTTGGCCAGCAAATCAAAAGCATGAAACAGTTACTATTTTCAGCTTGCAGTGCCAACATTATTGCAAGTCACAGAAAAAAAAAAGCTCCACTGCCCTGTGTTCTTGTAGGGTAGCTGAAGTAGAGTGGTGGGCTTGTACAGGTATAAATGAGAAGAGAATGTGTCTGACTGTGAGCTTTCCTTAGACAGCTACTCATTTTGCATGCAGTAGGAAAAATAAACAGATGTTGCAATAAATAGAAGAGATGCAAAGCACAAAGTCTCAAAGGATGCTCAAAGCAATATTCAAACATGTTATGAAGGAATTACTTAGCAAGAAAACCCACTGCCAAGGCTTAAATAAACCTCAGTAGGAGACCCTAGAAATTATAATGAATTCTCAAACAAATAACCACACCAAAGAAGCCTTCTGCTTTCCAGTCCCCAGGGCAGACACCAACAAATAGACCTCTTGCCTCTTTCAGTCAAAGAGAAACCAACACTTTCTAGATAGAATAATTAATCCTGTGATAAAGGAACACTTTTGCTCCAGATAGCAGCCGCTTGCTCTGTCCCTGCCTTTTCTTTGCTGCCACCAGTTCTGATGGGTCTTGCTCTCACCTTGCAGGGTCTCCTTACAGAGACAAGATCACCATTGCCATCCTCCAGCTCCAGGAGGAAGGAAAGCTACACATGATGAAGGAGAAGTGGTGGCGAGGCAACGGCTGCCCCGAGGAGGACAGCAAAGAAGCCAGCGCTCTTGGGGTGGAGAATATTGGAGGCATCTTCATAGTGCTTGCTGCAGGGCTTGTTCTTTCGGTGTTTGTAGCCATTGGTGAATTTATATATAAATCAAGGAAAAACAGTGATATTGAGCAGGTGAGTCATCAATTTCCAGCTTTCTTATGTTTCTGAGAGGCTGAGGTTTGTGGATGTGGAAGTGACTGCATTATACACCTCTTTGGTGGAGTGCAGATTTTGCATTGCTGAACTTTCACCATACATTTCTGGCATTAAAGATAAATAATTTATTAATAAGAACAGAGAAGTACGTCACCTACAGTCCAATTAGTGCTGCTTAGTACAGCAGTGCAGAACAAGAGCAATTAATTTCTCGAACAGTTTCTGCTTGATCTTTAAGATTTTGAGTATAAATTACATTGGAAAGGAATAAAACATGACTGATTTTATTTTTATGGTATTAGCATCAGCCCTCTGAATAACAACAGGAATCTATTTCCAAATCCCCAAGTGTAATTTTTCTCTCAGTCTAGAAGGCATTTTTTTTCACAGCCAGGAGTTTACACACTGTGCTGAAGCCTGCACTTCAAAGCAGCAAGGCCTACTGAAAGGTGATGGATGCCATAGTAAAGTAAGATTATGGAGCCAAAGAAATTCAGGTTATAGCTCCACTGAAGTGTAATGAGCAATTTGAAAGGGCAGAGGGAAAACAGAGGAAATGCTATGTATAAATCATGCCTTGAGTGTTACAGCAGTTTGTGAGATAGAATCAATCATTAAAATAGAGTGTAAACACCCATTTACCAAACCATCAGACACTGTAAAAGAAACAATACATGAGCAGTAACTCAGAGTCTGTTCAAAAGGGTTGTCTGCCAACCCTCTTACTCTGGCTGCCTTTCCTGGTGACTCTTTGGTACTGGCCATGTCCTGGACCCTGATGTGTCCCTGTTGAGCTCAACTGCTAGAGCCACTGTGGTTCTCTTCACTTCAACAGGACCTGTTGTAGCGATGAGGGTCACCTTGCGCTGCAGGATTGGTGGCCCCTGATACGATCACCGAGACACAGGCTCATATCACCTAACTTTAGGCTTCTATACAAGAGGCGTCTACTTTGAAGTGAGTTGTTTAAGCACTTTTAGATGGGAAAGGTAGGAGCTTTTCCATGAGCAATTCTTCCTTTTCATCCGAGCTGTAATCCTGCAAGGCTGATGACATAAATGCCAGAAATGAATGTTGAGAAAAATAACCTTAATGAAGGCAACAGGGATGAGTGGGAGGAGAAGGAGAACATTTTGAAGTCAGTCTCAGAGGTACAGTTTACACCACATACACCAGTAGTGCTGGGGCATGAGAAGGATTGATACCTGGGTAGAAACAAGCACTCAGGGCTGAGGGCCTTGAGAGGACAATGTCTGGTTTTCGGTAAACCACAGAGTAAATCACCCATATCTCCTGCTGCCAGTGAAGAATCACCATAAGCTAAGGCCACATGCTTGCTGTTCAAACAGGTGAAAAGAGATGAGGTGAAGCCTACCATGCATCTTCATTTTCCAAATGGCATTTGTTGTTATTTTGGGTCTATGACACCTAATGCCAATGTCGGTGGACTTGGTCCTCACAGTATCCTGCAGGAGAGGGCAGCTCCTGAGCATGCAGACATCTCCACATGTGCCTGATAAAGCCCTCATTAAAGGCAATGGCACTGTTGACGAGCAACAGACACAGCTCATGTGGAGCAATTTTGCAGGCCATATCAATCAAAGTCTCCCTGGTTTAGAATAAGTCAGGGATAAGGGATAAATGTATCTTGCACATATTACAGCTTTCTGATTAGTACTTTAACCTTATAGAGCACTCTTAGCACAAAATACGTAAAGAATGTATCAATATGTTTAATTCATGTCTAAGGAGATTTTTCATTCAAATATGTTTCAGAGAGCAGTTGTAGCTCATTAAAATGTTAAGTATAAGTGCTTAATAATGTGAAAACTCTTCAGAAGTCCAGGAACTGCAATACATTCCTCAAGTCACAAAGAAAGTAGACCTAAAGCTTTATATTTACTTAGCAATATATTGGGTGAATAACATAGTATTTAGGGATACATATAGATATATATGTGTATATATACCATTTCTCATACTGTATTACTGTTTCACAGCAATGTGTTGCTTATTACAGGCAGTCTCTTAATGATTAAAATCTTTAAGTGGTTAATGTGGCAACATCATACTTCTTTTCCAGAAGTTATTTTGCAGAAAGTAGAGTACCAGAGATTCTAGTGTTATTTTCTGATATGTCTCAGCTTGTTTTATTTTTATTCTGGTGAAATAAGAAGCCTAGGTGGAAAAAGCTGTACAGTGTATACCATTAACCTAATCCAAAGCATGAAGTCAAATACAATCTATGACTTTTCTGTTTCCATAAATAGAATCCCTTTTGATTTAAATAGTCTTTGAATCTCATTCTCATGTTTGCTTTTAATTTTACTTCTGTCATTTATTTATTTTCTTCATTTTTCTTTTCTTGCATGCAAGGCCTTTTGTTTCTTTTACGGACTACAATGTAAGCAAAACCATCCGTCCAACTCCACCTCTGGCACCACCTTATCTACGGAGTTAGACTGTGGCAAGTTAATCCGAGAGGAGCGAGGGATTCGAACACAGCCCTCAATTCACACTGTATAGTCAGGAAAGAAAAAAGGTGTGTCTGATGGAAAGCATTAAACAGTGCACATAGTAGCAAAGGTTGTACTCACCAACATAGAGTTAATGACTTCA